AAGAACAAGAACAAGATGAAAAAATTAGATTTAGGGTTTTCTTTTTTTTTCTTTTAATTTGGTTTAATTCCTTTTTCTTTTACTTTGTTTTAAAACTTATAGCCAAAACCCCAAATCTTAAAGGAAGCCCAAATAAATAACACGAAGGCCCAAAACAAGAAGCCCAAAATTTCACTTTAAAAATCAAATAAAACCCACAACAACCCGAAATAAAATAACTAACTTAAACTCTAATAGCCAAGAATAATAATTCAATAAGTAGAAATTAAGAGTCCCCAAAAACCATGATTTAAGATTTAACTAAAAATCTCCTACACTGATCGAGAACTTAAATTATCTTAATCCAATGAAATTAAACTTAATTCTAATTTAGCCAAAAATTAGAATTTCAAAATTATAAAATCCAAGAATTAAAGTTATCAGCTTAGGGAAAAAAATTCAAAGACACTATTTATCTCTAAAACGACGAGTCAGAGAACGCGTGACGTTACATGAGAAGTTGGTATTAGCCCTGGTTACTTCAGCTCGGAGACTACGTCCATATTTCCAAGCCCACAAGATAACTGTCCTCACCAATTTTCCCTTACGACAAATTTTGCAAAGGCCAGACACTTCAAGGCGACTGATGAAATGGGTCGTGGAGCTCAGTGAGTACGACATTCAGTATAAGCCAAGAACTGCCATTAAAGGGCAGGCCATGACAGACTTCATAGCAGAATTAACACCAGTGGAGCCTCAACTATGTAGCATCAACCCACAACTAGTTGAGGAAGAGCTACCTTAGACGCTCTACGTAGATGGATCATCAAATTTTCGGGGATGTGGAGCAGGACTTCTATTAGTCTCTCCAGATAAGGAGTGATTCGAATACGCACTGCGATTCAGTTTCCATGCATCCAACAATGAAGCCGAATACGAAGCTCTAATAGCAGGGTTAAAGGTGGCCAAGCACATTGGGGTCAAGAACATACTGATATTCAGTGATTCGCAGCTAATTGTAAGTCAGGTAAAAAAGGAATTCCAGGCTAGAGAACCACGGATGACGAAATACCTTTCTCGAGTAAAAGACCAGCTTGGCCATTTCTCAAAATATAAGATTCGACAAATTCCTCGTACCCAGAACGTCAATGCGGATCCATTAGCTCAACTAGCTGTAGCTTATGAAACCAACCTAGGAAGAACTGTGTCGGTCAAAATTTTGCCCGAACCGAGCATAGAAGCTTAGTGAGTAATGGATATCGACAAACAAGGGCAGCTAGAAGAAAACTGGATGAGCCCCTTGATCAAGTATTTGAAAAATGGGATCCTACCTACTGAGAAGATAGAGGCCCAACAACTACAACAACGAGCGACCAGATATGTGCTTAAAGACGAAAGTTTGTACAAGAGAGGCTACCCACTGCCACTTTTAAAATGTTTAACGCCCGACGAGGCTGACTATGTCATGAGAGAAATACATGAAGGCGTTTGTGGGAACCACTCCGAAGCACGATCCCTAAGTCACAAAATAGTACGATAAGGGTATTATTGGTCGACCATGCTAAACGGCACGATACAATTCACTAAAAAATGTGACAAATGCCAGCGGTTCGCAACAATACCTAGGCAACCGCCAGAACCCTTAACAAACATAATAAGTCTCTGACCCTTTGCTCAATGGGTGATAGACCTTATAGGTCCTCCCCCATTAGGAAATGGTCAAACCAAATTTGAAGTAGTGGCAGTCGACTATTTCACCAAATGGGCTGAAGCAAAAGCTGTAGCTACTATTACGGAGAAAAATGTCACCGACTTTATTTGGAAAAATATCATTTGCCGTTTTGGAATACCTTACACCATTATCAGTGATAACGGGAAGCAGTTCGACAATACTGCTTTTCGAGAGTTTTGTAGGGAGTTGGGCATTAAGTATATCTGTTATTCACCAGCACACCCACAAGCTAATGGGCAGATTGAAGCAGTCAACAAAATCATCAAAAGGATTCTAAAAACCAGGTTAGAGAAACTCAAAGGATTATGGGCAGAAGAACTTCCCACCGCATTATGGGCCTACAGAACTACACCTTGTACATCGGCGGGAGAAACGCCGTTCTCACTATCATTTTGGTTCTGAGGCAGTAGTGCCAGTAGAGATTGAGCTTCCTTCCCCAAGGGTATAGCAGTTCAGTCTACTAAGCAACAATGAGTCCATACAACTCAACTTCGACCTATTAGAAGAACATCGAGAAGCAGCGCGACTACGAACGGCTGAATACAAGAATCGAATAGCCCGATACTACAACTCGAAGATTAAGAAGCGTGACTTTAAAGAAGGTGATCTAGTCTTGAGAAAGATCATGCCTAATACCAAAGAATCAACTAGTGAAGCATTCGGGGCAACGTGGGAGGGCCCATACAAAGTCACTAAGGTGGTTTGAACAGACACTTATACCTTGAAGACCAACAAGGGAAGGCCTTACTACACCCATGGTACGTCCAACACCTCAAAAAATACTACCACTAGTTCAACGCGTTTATTTTAGGTATTAAAAGTCTTCGACATTTGACATAATACTTGAGTTTTTTATATTTATTCTAAAATAAATCTCTTAAGCATGAGGCATTATATATGAGTATCTACGACCAGTCAAGAAACTCAAAATTGGGACATACCTAGAAGCAAGCCAAAAAAAGCTCAGAATGGTCAAAACTAAAGCATGCGAATACATGATATAGAACTATTTGGCATAAAAGCCAAATAAGTTAGAAATCCGAAAATATCAACGCTATTTTTGCTAAAGTTAGATCCTAGAGTTAAAGAGGAACGGTTAAAATCGGGTGAAGGTAAAACCAGGCTCAAGAAACTTGATTGTGATCAAAGAAAATTGGAAAAACTGCCAGTTCATGAGATAATATCGACGAGCTCAAAGTACAAAACGATTAGCAAAAACCAAGCATAAAAAAAATCCAAAACTGGATACAAAGAAGCTTTTGATAGAAGCCCTATGGGTTAGAAACCTTGGTGTAGCTAACCACTAGTACACATACAAATTATGCTATGAATGATATCGTGATAGCAGCAAGTGACAGGTACTATGAAAACAAAAGTCTTGACACAATCATTCGTCTTCTGTTTTGAGAGTGGGGGTCATTGTTATAGGGAATACAAGCAAATATTAGACCGGGGAAGAAGCGTACGGGTCAAGTAAGTGCCGAGAAACGTCGACCCGGGCTAACCTGGGTCGACCTCAACCAACCAAGCACCTCGGCGCTGAGACCTCCTCGGGGCCGAGCAGTTCTCAGCCCCCAGTTGAGAATGATAACGGCCCACTCGACAGTTTCGCAGTACCTCTCATTCCGCAGTTACACCCGTAATGGGTCTGAAATCTACCAGGATTCAGATGGGGCTGCTATAAGAGGGAAAGGGACGGAACCCTAGAGGTATGAAAAAAGACACCCTACTCTCTATACTATAATTCCATATCCATCAACTCTCCTTGCTAACTTAGGCATTGGAGCCCGTGTGACTGGAGTCACATCAGTTTAGGTTTGATTGGTTTTGCAGGTTCTTTGTCCCCTGCTTATCAAGTTTGCTGCGAACCTCGAAAAGAACTGGGAGAGCAAAATTCACGCATCAACAAGTTGGAAGCCCCCATCACCAATTTTTGTACTAAAAAAAAGCATATCATTTGTAATTTTAATAATTTTAATCTATACTATATTAAAAATGGAGGATCTTGGAAAAACATTTTTAGACTATTTTGTCATTTATCAAATTTATATTTACTAAGCATACACTGTTTTATTTTAATAATTTTAATCTGTACTATATTAAAAGGGGATCTTTAAAAAACATTTTAGAGCATTTTGTCCTTTATCAAATTTTATATTTACTAAGTATACCATTTTTAATTTTAATAATTTTAATTAATAAAAATATAAAAATTATGAATGTGAAAGAGTCTGTATTTATGTATTTATTTCTAGCCAGTGTTACTTTAATTGGAATTAGTAATATAATTAAAAAGGTGTTGGAATCTAAAAAAATTTCCAACTTATTCATCTCCTATATATATATGAAAATCATCTCTATTTTTTTAATATCATAATTTAGCTCTCCCTTAATTTTGATATCTTGTTCTAATAAATTATTTAGCAAGGTCACATTGTATAATGAACTATCGGATCGAGTATCTCAATTTACGTGCATTTGCACGTGGCAGTCCAAACCAGGGTGTCCAAGCTCCATGACAAGCCCACGGACACAAAAACATTTGGCGCGCGCAGCCAATCCTCTGGTAACTGACTTCTGACTTCTGAGGCAGGCGGGGTTCGATTCCATTTCCGCAGTTGACATTTCCAAAAATCTCCTATTAACCTATTTCCTAATTTTCCATTTTTACTCTCTCTGTGGTGTGCTCGTTTTCTCAAATATTCTTTCCATCTCTGAACTTCTCCCGCTCTACCCATTTCCCAATTCATAGTTTCGTCCCGTTTTCCTCTTCGAAAGTTTCAGTTCCATGGCCCACTTGGAAACCGATCATTCTCCCCCATCTTCTTCCGATCACTCCAGCGATTTCTCTGGATCCGTGTCCTCGGATGGCGACGGCGACAGCAACGGCGATCACCGTGTCTCTTCTTCTGGTTCGTTTATTTTCTTCTTTTCCCTCTTCACCATGCTTAAGTTTTATTGTTATTGTTGTAATTACTCTCTGAATTCTCTATTTTTGGAATGGATTATGGTGTCTATGAAACTCTTATACGTCGTGTTAATCTTTCTGGGTTTTTGATGCTCAATTATTCTAACCAAATTCTTAAGTGAAACTGAAATGTTTCTCTGACACAAACGAGTGAATAGATTTGGGCTACTCGTCGAAATTGCGTACATTTATATCTTAACTATATGAGTATCCGCTAAAGGGATCCCCACCCCGCCTTCTGGAATCCAGCTGATTATTTTGTTGAAAATTAGCATTAAGGTCCATCAAGCCAACTCGCTCATCCATCTGCTCCAGAGAAATTACTTCTTAATAAAAGATTCTTGCCCATACCAGAATCATTCCGACGTCTGCTGATTGAGAATTCCTTGGAATGGTCTACATTGTAAAATTTTTTAAAGAGTTTTTAGAGATTCGTTAAATACCCAAACCTTGCATGCTCACTTTCCAGATAAGCAACCAATCACTTTTGAGGATTCCCAATCAGTTTTATTTTTGAAAACAAAAGGTCACTTGCTGGATTAATGCGTATTTATAGTGACAACAAGGGAGACACTTCCAAAGATGGTTCATTTTTCTCAAGAATATTTCAGTCCCCCTGTCAGAGTAGTAGGGGTTTGTGCTCATCTTTCCTTATGGTGTTCATTTGCTTTATAAGAAATTGTGGCAGCCTTTTTGGTGGAATTTTCTTGGATTTGTGGTTTTGTTTATGGGATAATGGTGCTGTTTCTGTTTCCTTTCGATGCTTCGTTCATCAAGAAGAAGGCTAAAAGCATTTTCCATCTTTGGAGTTGGAGTCCATTTAGTCGGCCTTCCTCCTGATTGGAGTTCAAGGGTTTGCGTGCATCTTTGCAGTTTGAAGGAATTTTTTTTTGTTGCATAGGCTCATTGTCTAGTCAGAGATCTTTGGCATTTTGTTCTTCACTGTTTTATTTTTAGCCTCTTGTAATTTTTGCAAGATTTGTTTGGATATTTTGTTTTCTTCTCACTCCCCTGGAGTTTGTATCTTTGAATATTTTTTCTATTGTTTCATCTATCAATGGAAAGTTTTTCTTGTTAAAAAAAGGAGAGATTCGTTAAATACCAAGGGTCCTCCAGAAATTTTATTCGATTCCTACTCCCTAATTAGAATGCCATCACTTGCTGATAAGTTTTGGTGATAAAATTTCAAGGGGTTTTTTCTGTATCTAGTACTGTTGATTTTCATGAACCTCCTGTTTTCTCCTTCCCATACTTATTACTATCTCATGCCTATTTGTGCCAAGGGCTTCGTTATCCTATGGAAATATCCAATCAACTTACACGAATGAGCCGTAGTGTAATTCATGAGATTATCTAGTCCTAAACCACCATCATTAATAGGTAAACAGACCAACTTCCAGTTAATAATGGCTTTTACCTCACTGTTTGTGTTCAAAACAAAGTCATTGGCCTTCTTCACCGATGGACCCTAGTGAAAGGCAGATTAAAAAGAGAGACAAAGTAACTTGGAATGCTGAAAAAGTTGATTGCACCAGAGGATTCCTCTTTTGACATGATAATGTTCCTCCCTTTTGAGAGCTTACCCATCATCTCTCTGTGACAGGGTTCCAAAAATTTATTAGATATTAGAGTGACCACAATAGAGGCCTCAAGTAATTTAAGAGCCAAGGACGTGGAGGAGAATTCTACTACTTTGGCATGAATGATTTCTGTTTGTTAACATATGCGAAAACAGATTACTTATCAATCCAAAAACTTCTTGAAAGATATTTAAAACCTCTAACAAAAGTTTAAAATTTTCCTTATTAGGAATGCAAATAAGGGGGTACCATTACTGCAGTCTTTGGAAAAACCAAGTGATTTAATTCGGCCTCGTTTAATCCAAGAGAATCTTTTAGACTCCTTCAACAAAGTCAGCAAAATCTTGAAGGCAACCACTTCAAAAATAGATCCTATTAATCTGATAAATTTGAATCTGAGTCGTGGCTTGATTAAATCTACAAATGAGCAGCCGAAATCTTGTGATCAAGATGCTKTAACATCAGATGATGAAGAAGGTTTGAATGTCAGCATTAGTAGTCAAGACTCCCCTTGTTTCAATAGGCAGTATTGAGAATTCCATTGCAGACTACGCAGAAAATTCCTTCGGTGACGATCTCAACAAGTTATTTGGAATTGAAAAGGAATCTTCTCCTTTAATTCCGGCTTTGGGAAATCTTTCATCAGATTCCCATTCTCTTTCCAATAATCTGGCAAGGATAGTTAATAAAAATCCAATTCCATCGTATTTTAAGGAAGTTGGTATTTCTCTCTCCCCAATTTTGAAAGCAAGATGAAAATCCTCTCATGGAATGTACGTGGCCTAAGAGATTTTAACAAGAGATTGAAGGTTAAGAAAAMAATTCAGAAGTTATGTCCGGATGTGGTGCTTCTTCAGGAGACTAAACTTCAACAGGTTGATAAGTCAATTATTAAATCCATATGGAGCTCAAAAGATGTTGGCTGGGCTCAGCTTGTTGCAAAAGGAAGATCTGGTGGTATTTTAACTTTATGGGATGAGAGCAAAATCCGATCAATTGAAGTCATYGAAGGGAGATATTCTGYAACCATATCTATTTCCTTTTCTCAATTGAATACAGTGTTTATTACTAATGTCTATGGTCCAAATCATTACAGAGAAAGAAAGTTGTTATGGGCTGAGCTTCGGAATATTTCAGGACTCTGTGATAAGTTTGGTGCCTTGGGGGTGATTTTAATATCACAAGATGGATCTCAGATAGATCTACAGGAGGGCGAATCACAAGAGACATGAGAAAGTTTAATAAACTTATTGAAGACCTTGATTTGCTGGAAATTCCTTTGTCTAATGGAAAGTTCACTTGGTCGAAAATGGGCAGCAGCAATATCCACTCACTTTTGGACAGATTCTTTATCTCTAAGGATTGGGATAATTTGTTTAGCAACTCCAAGGTAAGCAGGGCTGAAAGAATTACTTCTGACCACTATCCAATTGTTCTTGATGTAGGAGATTTTGTATGGGGGCCTTCTCCATTCAGGTTCTTSAACTCTTGGTTAGAAGACAAGGAGTGCGTTCAATTAATTGAATCTAAGCTCTCGGATGACATTTCCTATGGATGGGCAGGTTTTGTCACTTCTTCAAAACTTAGAAATCTCAAAACGGTTCTTAAGCAGTGGAATATTCAAAATGAAAAGAAGAGGAAAGAAGCAGAAGAGAAGATTATTTCGGAGATTGCTTTACTTGATGAAACAGATGAGTCCGTGGGAGTTTCTTTGGCAGAGGAGGAGAGGAGAGTTTCATTGAAGAAGGATCTTTTGAATTTATT